AGTTATGAGATGGTGTATGATAGAAAATATAGGATATACGTAATAAAGAAAGGAATAAGATTCCTTTTCTACCCATGAGTTCATGTTATTATGGTCAACTTACCAATTCGTTATCTTCATAAGTATTGGATACTGCTTGAGTGTTCCACTTTGAAAGTGACCTCAAACCATTGAAGACAAGCTAAGTTATTGACTTACAAGCTTAGAATGAAGCAAGTAGTGCTACATCAGTTCTAAGGTCACTTGTTTTGTTTAAAGTCCTTTTGAAGCCAAGGCTGGAACGAATAATGGTTATTGTGTTCCATAATCAGCAAACGATCCATTTACACACGGAAAGACTCACATTCAATAAAAGAGCAATAGTTGCGGGTTTTATTTGAGTGGCATGGTTGTCTAAGCCATGAGTCAAGAATGCTAGATTATAAACAAAAATTTCCCTAACATTAAAACTCACAAGGTTCAAGTCTTGGACATGATTTTTGTTCCAAACATCTTTAGCAATGTCACATCGACAAGAACATACTCAAGGCTCTATTATATAGACTCTTGATATTTGATCGATTCAGAATCGTTCTAAGACAAGCAAGTCTTACTTGTTGAAATCGACAAAGAAAGGAGCTATTATGCTTGGCATAGGCAATTGACTCTAAAAGCTAAAGAGTATTCCATTACTTCAACGTCTCACAAGTATTTGAATGAATGTGGCTACATCATCAAATGTGAACAAACGAGACCTTGAGTAGCTCAAATTTTCAGTGAAGTATAGAATCGACTTGGTAAGATATCAAAACGTCTAGATTAGATCGAGCGATGTTTGCTTGAGCCAAGAGTGATCATATCAAAGTTATGAAATTGAAATTTCATAATGAGCTCCACAAAGAATATAGTATGTCTTGACGAAGACCTTGATGCCATTTGGATGGATCACATCCCTTCCTATAAAGTTCTTAAAGATTTGCACAAATGACTAATGTTACACTAAACAGAAAAATCGTCGAAGCTATGAAAGGACACCATATTCAGTTTTGGGTAGAAATAGTTTCTAACGTCTTTTCAAGTATATGTCTAGGGCTCTTAGCTCAATGGGAGTTCATTGACTCAGTGGGAGCTAAGTGGCTCAATAAAGACTAAGGTAGCTCGAGAAGGAGCTACTTGTTTGTTACACAACGAACTTTTACCCAAAGACAATATACATGTCTCTTTGTGAGTATTCAAGTGAGACTACGGGCATTACTTCCACAACCTAATTGAGAACATAGTATTTGTTGCTCTAAGTGGTGTCTTTCTGGAAAGTAATACATTTCCAAAACGACAAGTGGCAGGAAAATGAACTCGATGACCATCAAGATTAGCAACAAAATAAAACTGAGAATCTCGGAAGACTTTAGAAGGGCTTCATGAGAATGATTGATAAAGAATACTCAAAGGACTTTACAAGTGCCTTAAATGAGAATTAAATACTCACAAAACTTTAGAAGTGGTGGAGTAAGATCAATATAATCAAAGGGCTTTAAAAGCACCTTGAAACTCAGTGTTTGATGCAATTATCCCGTATAGGTATAGAATTCACCAAAGGCTTGGATTGAATCCTAAAATTTCTATTAAGTTAGAAATAAACCTAAGACTTACAAGCATACTATTCACCATTGGATGGTGAGGGAATAGTGTCTTGTAAATTAGCTATGACAAATCCAAATTCCGAATAATGGTTAGAGGCCATAAAATCCGAAATAGACTCCATGTTTGTAAATCATGTTTGGAACTTGATTCATTTGAATGAAGGGTGAAAGACCCATCATTCGCAAATAAGTTTTCAAGGAGAAAACTAACAAATGTGAAATGCATAATGCATACATAGCTAGATTGGTTGAAAAGGATACAATCAAATCACGATGTTGATTTTAAAAAAATCCTATTCACTAATCGGAACGCTTAAGTCTTTTCGTGATTATTCTAGCAAAAATGCGGATATAAAATATGGTAAAATAGATAACGAAACTGCCTTCTTAAAATGGGATTTTAGGAAGAGACTATGGAAATAGTCTGAGGGTTTTGAGAATATAAATAATGCTAGATTTGAAAGCAAGCTCAAGAAATCCATTGTGGGATTAAGTGAAGAATTGCATGTAGGAATTTGAACATGTATTCTCATAAAGTTAATAAAAGGTTTGGCTTATGGAGAATCATAGAAATTCTTATGAACAAGTAGTTTAGTGGGAGCAAGAGTCAATCTTGTATGGTCCAACAAGAAGTTTACAAACTCTATTGTGAAATGACTGACAAATGCTAAATGCTTAGATTTGAAAAGATTTTGACAATGGACCAAGAAAAAGGCGATACTTAGTACATAGTGGGAATTAAGATCTATTGGATAGACTTAATGAAATGTTAAAACGTGTAGAGGAATTTACCGTGTTAAACATGAAGGACTTTGAAAGGCTTTCAACCCATATGTATAAAACTAAGTAGATGTTTGAACTAAGTATAAGCTAGTCTAATACTAAATCAATCAAAGAGGACTCTAGCAGAGACTCTCAACCGTATCATATAGCAAACAATTTAGCAAGACACGGTGAATCTGGATGAGCTAAAAGGTCACAAGAATGGAATAAATTGGGAGTAGTTCTACAATTGAAACCATCATGTGTGCTATAATATGGAATCGTCACTCAACTTACATGCTTAGAGCCGAAGTATCAAATACCAATCAATTTCAATCTAAGTAATGGATCGTTAAATTATGATCAAGAACATCCAAAGTACTTGGATAAGTAGAAGGGATAAGTTCTTGACGTATGGAAACAAATGTAATTTGAAAATTGATGTTGCATGCACATCTTTAGCAAGTATTAGATCCTTAATAAGGAAGCCGTTTATAAGCGCGAGCTAGAATGCGTTGTGGCTTGAGAATGGTAACATGGACGCGCATCCATGTATAATGTGCAGAAATTTAAGGTAAATTTCCATAATCACAAGTGATTAGGGTCTCCCAAATCATTGTGAGCCGTTTGGAATGAAATCTGAGCAACGCACCATCAGAATGTCTACTAAAATATATGTTGAGAATATTGTTGCCTAGAAGGCAATAACAAGAAAGTGTTTAATGGAAAGTTCGTTATCGAACGTTGATTGTAGGTTGTCAAGTTGAAAGATCTCAAGTCATGCAAATGAGTGGGAGCCATCACTTGGACAATAAATCCTAAATCACATATGATCCATAACACTCTCAAAATTTTATCATCTTATTATGAAATTGTTTGATAATGAAGATGCTAAGATTTGCAAAGTAATAATAGCTAAACCTATGCAATAAGTGAACGAAAACATTCACCAGAATTGCATGAAAGAAATCAAGCATATTAAATATGGCTGTGAATTCTATAAATGTTTTGTGAAGAGTGTTACTCTTAAAACATTTCGGGAAAACCATTTATCATAAGATGAAACATTTGGAAGTTTCATAGTGGAATAAAATTTTACTAATATAATTCCACAAACTATTTAATTGTGGTTTAGAATTAAATAATGTGTCCATTCGATTTCTGAGAATATTCAAAACAGGGTATCAAGACCATGTCTTGGATAAAGAAACACCTGTTAAGTGAACATTGAATATTTTAATCGAAAATTATCCCTAATCAAGGTCATTTAAACGATGGACGATTAATAACCACTTGAGATTAGTGTGTAGTATGATTTATATCACAGTTTCTTGTGCTACAAGGACATGATAGTCATAAATCATTTGCACAGGTACAAGTTTGGAACTGTACCGGATCGACCTACGAGAACACTTTAAGAGATAATGAATCGTCATAAGTATATTTCTCATTATAGCTATAGGAACCTTTTTCCTCGACCATGAGTATTACAAGTTCTCTTGTTTGAGTACTAGTCATTTTGATGTTGTCAAACGTCTGCCGTAAATGGGGATTATAACGGCAACACTCAGGCGACTAGGTCCTCTTAGTAAGGGAAGCTTACAGTATAAAACTCGGAATGTCCCCTCTATTAATAATAGGGAATATGTCTTTGTTGTTTACAAGGCCTCTCGAAGAGCGAGACTGTGAAAATGCATGGTCGTGCTCAGATGGATTTTAGAAATCATATGTTTATTGACAGTCAAACTCGGGAATCGAGAAACACTTCTGGACGTGATAAGGATGACGAAGTATCTTACCATATAATTCATGAAGAGACATTAAGCGACATAGGAAAAGGGCTATGCACTAATTGCACACTTGTCCGGAAGGACAAGTGGGAGATTGAAAGGAATGGTGTCCTTCCAACAAGTGTATTATTCCGATAGAGGGTTCAAAATTATTAGAAAGCTGATTCTTCAGTGAGGTCAAGTGATCGGAATGCCTAGGTGGAGGCCGCTTCCGATCAGTAATATTAATGTGTAATTAATATTACAACTTAATCTTGACTGAACCCTTCGGGTCACACCCAATCGAGTAACCGATCCGAGACGACGAATTAATCCGAAGGATTAAATGATTCGTTAGAGTATTACGAACTAACACTAGTAGAAAAAATGAAATAGGCACCCCCCTTTAGCACCAGTTCTTGAAAACCGGTGCCTAAAGAAATGGGCGGGAGTAAAAAATTGAGAGTTGGCACCGGTTCGAACTAAAACCGGTACCAAATTCTGTAATTAGCACCGGTTCAAACCGGTGACAACTTAAAAAAAAAAAATTAAAAAATACTATGGAAGAGAGTTGGCATCAGTTCGCCTTAAACCGGTGCCAATTATTGTAATTAGCACCGGTTCGAACCGGTACCATTTAAAACAACAAAAAAGCCGAGTTTAATTTTAATTCATTATTTTTACATAACTCCTTCATTTCTTCTTCAAATTGTTTTTCATTCTCTCTTAGCTCTCTGAAATAAAATGCATGCCTCTCTCTTTCAATTCCTTATCTCTCATCTCTCATCTCTCATCTCTCATCTCGATCTCTTCTTCTCTCTCATCTCTGTTCTTCTTCTTTGTCGTGCTTCTCTTTCATCTCTTCTCTAATTCTCGTTCTTCTTCTTTGATCCCTCTCATCTCTGTTCTTCTCTCTCCAACCAAGCACAACAACCAAGCCGTCACCATCAACCACAACAAACATCGCCGCCGCCTAAAATCAGAAATTTGAGGTTAGGATTTCTGGGTTTTGGGTTTTTCACGATTTTAGCTGGGTTTCTCATGATTTCTGGGTTTTTCACGATTTTTGGGTTTTTCACGATTCTAGGTTTTTGGGTTTTGTGGGTTGAATCTGTGTGGGTGTATTTGTGCAAATCGTTCGTTTTTAAGAGGTTTATTTGATCGATTTTTTGGGTTTATTTGTTCGATTTATTTTCGATTTTTTAGGGGTTTATTTGTTCTATTTATTTTTTGTTTTTCTGGTTGAATTTATCTGGGTTAATCGTTCATTTTTAAGGAGTTTATTTGAACGATTTTTGTTCGATTTTTTGGGTTTATTTGTTCTATTGATTTTCGATTTTTTTGGGGTTTATTTGTTCGATTTTTGTTCGATTTTGTGGTGGTTTTTTTGGGGTTGAATTTGAGTGATTTATCTTCTTTTGGGTTGATTTTTTATGTTGTTAGTAGAATTGTTATCTGATTTTATTGTTTTAATTGATGCAGGTTTGAAGTTTCTGATTTTTTAATTTTCGGTTTGAAGGTCGTGAATTTGCTGAGTTTGAAGTTCGAAGTTTCTGGGTTGTAAATTGTAAAATTACAAATTCAGCAATTTTTCTGTTTTTTTTTTAATAAATTGTAAAATAACAATTTATTTGATGAATATAGCCTTGTTCGATTTCTTGTTTTAGATTGTATGCTGAAATTGGATTGATGAATAAATTGTATGCTGAAATAACAATTTTTTTTATTATTGTTTGAAGGCATAATTGGCACCGGGTAACCGGTGCCAATTGTAGTTAAATTTTTTAAAAAAATAGTGTAGTTAGCACCGGTTAACCGGTGCCAAATGCTTTAGTTGAACCGGTGCCAAATTTTCATGGATTTGGCATCCCTCAAATCCCCAATGGTTCAAAACCGGTGCCTCGCATTTATCTTTTTCGCCTAGTGTAAGCCGTAGCCTCGCATTTGCCTAGCAATGCGAGTGTTAGGCTAGCTCAAGATGCCATGCGCATCACTAGGCATTGCAGCATGCTAGGTGCTGAGGCTAAGCGCGCTTTTGTGCCAAGCAGCGCTTAGCATACGCTACACATCAACAGCAGCAGCAGCCCGCATTGCATGCGTGGCTTGCTAGCTACGTGCATATGTATGCGGGCTAGCTAGCCAGCCCAGCCAAGGTACCAGGCGCCAGCTAGGCAGCTAAAGCTAGGCACGGGCCGGGTTGGCCTGCGGACGGCCCGGCACGGCACGATCTCCGACGCGGCACGGCACGGCTCGCTAGCTGGCCCAACCTTGCACGGTGGTCGCCGGGCGTGCCGTGGGCCATGCCACGGACATAAATTGGTTTTTCCGGCACGGCCCGGCACGAGCCCGCCTCTTGGCCCGCAGTGCTGGCCCGTGGCACGGCCCGCGTGCCAATGGCAATAAAACGGCTATAATGTCATTGCCCAACAACCATTAACGACCATATTTTCCCAAATTCCTTATAAATACCAAATTTCATTCACTTCCCAAATCACAAATTCACAATCTCTTCTCTTAATCTCTTATATTCTCTAATAATTCTCTTACATTCTCTAATTATTTTTTCTTAATATCGAAAAAAATTAAAAGTTCGTAATCGTAATTAGTGGAAAGCGTTGAAGCACGGTTGTAAGATCTAAAATAATCTTTAATTTATTATTGTTGTTATTGTTATTATTATAATTATTGTTATTAATTATTATTGTTGTTATTGTTATTGTTATAATTATTGTTATTAATTATTATTATTGTTATTGCATCGAAAACCCATCATCTAGGGGGAAAGCCCGACTTGTCCGTGGTAATAGTTCTAGGGAATCACCTAATCCAACAAGCCCCCAAATTCCGAGTCCGTCCATTCCAACCAATGACCCCGGTAACGTCCCCCTAGGCTTTGACCAATTTAGGCACGATGGTACTTCCGGTTTTCAACCCTATAACATGAATAATATGCCCGAATTTCCACCACCAAACCAATTTCCACCACCAAACTAATTTCCACAATTCAGTCAATTCCCACCTAATTTCTTTGACCCACAGAATTTTTATTCTAGCCAAGGTAGCCAACAAGATACCCTAAATGCCTCCGGTTTTACTACTAACCAACAAATCCCCGATTCTACAAACACCCAATTCCCAAACACACATGAGGAATGGTTAACCGAAAGTGAGATGGTACATATCAAAAGCCGCAAAAGTGATGTATGACATTATTTCCTCCTAAATAAAGACCACACAAGAGCAAAATGTAAAACATGTGGTCATACATACTCGGCACAATCCAAATCCGGGAAGGAACACTTAAGTAGACACATGAGAACTTGTGCAAAACCAGCTAGTGATCCAACCCAGCCAAAAATTTCCCAATTCCATCCACACGACTTTACCTACAATTATGAGAGGGATAGGGATGAACTAGGGAAAATGATAGTACACGCATTTAACAGTCACATTAACAAAGCATTTAACAGTCACATTAAAAATTTCCCAACCTTTTCTTTTCTCCGAAAGTGACCCATTTAACAGTCACATTAACAAAGCATTACAACCCCAACATAAAAGAATCTCTAGGAAAACCGTTCGTTCCGCCGCCATGAAAAATTTCCTAGAGTAAAAAATGCGGTTACAAGACGAATTGAGTAAACTTAATTGTAGAGTGTCTTTGACTGCCGATTCTTGGGATAGTGGTTATAAATATCACTATTTATATGTGACTTGCCATTGGGTAGATGATTAATGGTTGTTACAAAAACGAATAATCCATTTCAAAATGCTGGAATAACCCCCACACCGGTATTAATATTGCTCACCATTTCATGGAAGCTATCAATAGTAGAAAAAATGAATAACGCAGCGCACTTTTCGCACCAGTTCTTGAAAACCGGTGGGAAAAGAAATGGGCGGGATTGGGGAAAATACTTTTCGCACCGGTTCCTAATAAACCGGTGCAAAAACCGGGCTGCGTCTTTTTTTCTTCTTTCTTTCTTTCTTTCCATGTTCTGTTTTAATTTCCCTCTCGTTTTTTCCTTCGTTCTCTTTCCTAAGTCCTGAATTTTCACCTTCTCCATTGAAGTGGTTGCCCTAGCTTTCCCACTCCATTGAAGCAGCACCTCCGCCTCCATTGAATCGTGCTCTATATTCTCCATTGAAGCCGAATCTGAGCTTTCTCACCTCCATTGAAGCAGCTTCGAGGTAAGGTGGTCTTCTTAATCTATCGGAATCCTTCGCAATCTAGGGTTTTTCGCTGATTTGTTTTTCAATTTCATAATTCTAGGGTTAGTCTGCTTCTTCACGTTTGATTTTCATTTTTTTTTAAAATTTTTTATTATTGGTTCACATTCATTCCCAGCTAACCATATGACCCTTGGGAACATCCTTAGGGATGAACTTTTTGGCTTCTTGTTGTAAACTCAACGATGGCCAAAAACACCATTGACAGCAAGCTAAGACTCACATTCATACTCTGATGAATGTATAACTTTGCTGCTCATTTTCTAGCACTTGTTTAAGGATACTTTGAAGAACTTACCCTTCATTTTTTTTATTTATGCTTAGGTAAAACTTAAATAAAAGAAAAGAAGTTTCTTTTTCTTGTTTTGTTTGTTGATTTGTTTTGGGTATGTGTGACTGATATGAGAGGAATGTGTGAGAGGGGACAATATATAATGTGTACCTTGAAAAGTGCCAGCTCCAAGGCATTTAATGTCTCACAAAGAGGACCCAAATAATGTTGTCTTAGTGAGAGGTGAGAGAGGCTGCTTTTCGAGCCATAGGTAAAGATGAAGTCATGAAAATGTTTTTTGATTAATTATTCCAAATCTAATGCAAGTGTATGTCAACTATCGTAGTTCAAGTGTCCATTATACGTTTGGTATAAACTCACATCCTATAAGCGAAGATACCTATTTGGTAAGCTTTTATAGGCTTTGATACCAAATTTGAGATTGAATCTTGTTTGCACTCTTACCTTTATGATTCTTTTTACCAAATTCGAGATTGAATCTTGTTTGCACTCTTACCTTTTATGCGTTATACTTTAGCAATGTATGTAGGTATTAATTACTTAATAACTTTTGTTTTTTGTTTTTGTTTTTTCTTTTTAATTTTTTATAGATTCATATGTGAATTAAAGCACAAGTTTAGCTGCTTGAAGACTACATGTTGTAGATATAGTAGGAAGTTAGAAAGAATACATCCATTGTACTTGCTATAGTGGTATGAATTATAAAATTTTCTAATCTATATTTCTTTTTTTTTATTCATTTAATGAAAGTTTTTTCATGCTATTACAACTTGTGTATTGTTTAATGACAAATAAATACAACAATATATAAATGCTTGCATCATCATATGCATAGACACCCGTTCAAGGCTTTCTCATAAGGAGAAAGTCTTGAATAGTCCCCGGTTGGGACTGTTCTTGAACATTTACTCTCACTTAGGTGGTGAATGTATGTCTTTTTTTTTTCGATTTTAAGGAACATCTTGGCTTATCATTTCCTCACCATGTTCTCTGGGTACATATGTGGTTAAGTAATTATCTACATCGTGTACTTGGAGAACTGAGGGGAAATGCTGCCGGATTTTCCTTAAAATTGGAAAGTCGACATACATTCACTAGTGAGAATACACGTTCAAGGATGGGTTAGGTTGGAGCGATAAGGATCCTTTGGAAGCATATATGCATTTTTTTACTATAAGAAAATTATATGCATGGTGTGTGTTTGAATTTTATTTACATATATAATACATGTAGCAATTATACATTATTCGTAATATGTTGCTATGTTTAGAGACAATTTACTCAATGGAGAAGGATCGTGGTTGGATGTATGGTAGACACGATACATTGGAATTCTTTGATGGGGTTCAAGAGTTTTGCGAGAGGGCTTTATCTTATCAGCGCAGAATGGGTGTTGATTGCCTCTATTATCCATGTGTTGATTGTAATAATGTGAAGGTGGTCAATAGTGTTGATATCATTAGAGATAATGTAGTTTGTCATGGGTTTAGGCTTAAATACCATGTGTGGATTTGGCACGGTGAAGAAGGAGAGTACAGTGGGGATGTTGATGGGAATGATGTGCATGATAGAAGAAATGAGATTTATGTGGACGAGGAATACATGAATGATGAATATATTATTGATAATGGCGATGATGATGGATTTGAGGATGATCAGGTGGATGAGGTCGAGGACGTAGGGGTGGATGAGATGATGCGTGGTGTTGAAGGTGACGTGTTTGAGTCATTATCGGAGGCTTCTAAAAAGCCTTTGTATCCTAGGTGCAAAAAATACTCCAAACTATCAGCTGTGCTAACACTGTTTAACATTAAGTCGAAGCATGGGTGGACGGACAATAGTTTTACTTCTTTGTTGACCGTGTTAAGTAAGATGTTGCCTGACGGGAATGAAATTCCTAAGTCTTACTATATGCAAATAAGCTCATGTGTCCATTTGGTTTGGAGTATAAGAAGATACATGCATGTCCTAATGATTGTATTCTTTATCGAAATGAATATGAACAATTAGAGGAGTGTCCACGATGCAAGAAGCCGCGCTACAAGTGCATGAATTGCAATGCTGATACGAAGGGACCTCCTGCTAAGGTGTTGTGGTATCTTCCCATCATTCCAAGGTTTAAGCGTCTTTTCTCAACACCAAAA